AATAAATAATAATAAAAAAAAAAAAAACACATTTTCACAATTCTGAAGTTTCCCTTTGTCTTTGGATCCCTTAGATTCCTGTCATAGCAGAATCAGAAGAGACTGATATGAACCAAGAGACCTTAATTCAGTTGGGTGTTACTAAAAATAAAATCATGACAGCTCAATATGAATGTTACCAAAAAATTATGCAAGATCCTATTCAACAAACAGAAGGTAAATGTGACTTTTCAATTTTTAAATACATTTGTCATATATTTTAAAAATAAAATTATAACATTATACTATTATGGGTTTTTAAAATCTCTGATTAATTATTGGAGCTCTGGTAGAGTAGTGCCTAAGGCACTTGACTGCTATCCAGAAGGCTGGCAGTTCAAATCCATCAGCCACTCCTCGGAAGGAAGATTGGGCAATCCACTTCCATAGTAATATCACCTCGGAAACCCAAGGAGGGATTGCTATGAGTCAGGTCCAACTCGATGGCACATAATGACAACAACAACGTGATTAAATATAGATTAAATGCTAGTTTTCCTGGCATGAGTGAAGTATTAATTATTAATTTATGAAGAACATTTAATAAAATGTATTATTTATTCTGGCTCTTTGTGGTGGTTGTGTTTGTGTGTCAACTTGGCTGGGCCTTGTTGAGTGGCTGGGCAGCTAAATATAGTTATCCCCCATGGTGAGATTGGTAATTAACTCCATTGTGGAATCTATTGAAGCAGCTGAGTAGCTGCTTTGGGTATGTGGTCTGCTTCCTGTATATGTTGTTCCATAGTATCACTATGGAAGTAGATTGCCCCTTCTTCCTTCTGAGGAGTGGCTAGTGGGTTTGAACCGCCAGCCTTCTGGTTAACAGTCAAGTGCCTTAGGCACTATGCTACCAGTACTCCCGCTTCTTGTATATAAGAAGCAGCTTTGGGAATGGTCTCCAGCTTATGGCACACTTGAACCCTGCATGTAGCTGTATCCTGGTTCAGCAGCCTGCCATGCTCTGCTGACCTTGGGACTTTCAATGGACTTGAATTAATGACCTGCCGTGTGGTTTGGTAACATCAGGACTGTGCCATTTTATTTGTCGACTTTGGGCTTGTTAGCCCCAGCAAACAGTAGCTGCTTGAGTGAAGAGTTGCCTCTAGCTTCAGTGGGCCAGGAGCAAGAGGCAGAGCTGAAGCCCAAGGTCAAGGGGCTTTCACACAGCCCCTAGAGCCTGGTACTTTGAACTCAGACTTCTAGCTTCCAAAACTGTAAGAGAATAAACTCTTGTTTGTTAAGGTCATTACATTTGTGGTATATATCTGTCAGAGTGGTCCTGGGTAACCAGAACAGAATATGGTATCAAGAGAGTATGGTGCCACTCTGACAGATACCTAAAATATGGAAACAGGAGTGGAGTGCGTCCTTGACCCAAGACCCTGGCAGAGAGGCCCTGGTGTGTGGCATGAGAGATAGCAGCATCAGGGCCAAGAGACTGGCAGAGAGATACCAGCAGAGAAACCAGCATGAGAGATAACAGCATCAGAGCCCAGAAACTGGCATTAAACAGCAACATCCTTACCAGCTCACTGAGGATAAAGCTGGATGCCATTGGGTAGGAGGCCTCCTGGCAGAGTGGGTTGCCTTCTGGCATTAATTGGTAAAAGAAATCGGCATGAAATGGAGCAGTAGGTTAGATACCCCATGGAGCAAGAAAGCTGAGTGTCCTTTGGACAGGAAGGTTCCTGGAAGGGTGGTTTTCCCTCAGGCATTAATTGGCAGAAGCAGAGAGACCAAGGAAATGGGAAGCAGAACTGCCTCAGCCTCAAAGGTAGGACCATGGCCTTTGGGGGTGGAACCACTACAGCCCCCCTAGGTTTCAAAGAGCTAGACTTTCATCAGCTTGGTTCTGGCATGTGGAGCTGATTGTTCATGTGAGCTAATGAGATGGAGTCAAGCCACTGCCCGAGAGGGGGCAGGGCTGCCATGCCCAATGGGGGAGAGGAACGGGGCCTGCTAGGCCAATGGGGTGAGATCGCCACTCAGGAACTAGGGGACTGGAGTCACCCAGTGAAAAGATCTGTACAGATACCACCCATTGAAGATCTATACAGGTGCCAAGTTGTCAAGGGGTGGAATTGTGGTGGTTAAGTTTGTGTCAGCTTGGCTGGGCCTGACTGAGTGGGTGGGCAGCTGAATGTAGTTATTTCCCATAGTGAGATCAGTAATAGTAGCTCCATGGTGGAATCTATTGGAGCAGCTGAGTAGCTGGTTTGGGTATGCGGTCTGCTTCCTGTATATAAGAAGTAGCTTTGGGAATGGTCTCCAGCTTATGGCACACTTGAACCCTGCATGTAGCCTTGTTGTTGTTCAGCAGTCTGCCATGCTTTGCTGACCTTGGGACTTTCAATGGACTTGAATTAATGGCCTGCCGTGTGGTTTAGTAACATCAGGACTGTGCCATTTTATTTGTTGACCTTGGGCTTGTTAGCCCCAGCAGCCAGTAGCTGCCTGAGTGAAGAAAAGCCTCCAGCTTCAGTGGGCCAAGAGCAAGAGGCAGAGCTGAAGCCCAAGGTTGAGGGGCTTTCACACAGTCCCTAGAGCCTAGCACTTTGAATTCGGACTTCTAGCCTCCTAAACTGTAAGAGAATAAATTCCTGTTTGTTCAAGCCATCCCATTTCTGTTACATTCCTGTCAGAGTGGCACTAAGTAACCAGAACTCTCTTTTAACAAATTCTGATAAATAGTAAAATATGTACAACAGTGTGTCTTTTAGTGACATTCTTTTTTATCATATAACCATTGTATTTAAAACACCAAAAAGTATGTATCTTCAATCACATCAGTGGTTGACAGGAAGTTTATATAATTTGAATTTATTTTTTCACAAGCTGCCTTCTGAAACTTGCATAATAAAATGATATGACAAATGGCACAAGTATGTAATTTTTAATAACACATACTCTGTGTAATGAAGTCTAAGTGCTTATGTTTCTGTTAAGACATCCTTTCATTGTCTTATAATATTTGAGGACCTACTAAGTGCCAGATACAAAAGTGAGTAACACAAGTAGAGTGGCCAGCTTTAACAAAAAGCAAACAAATAAACAATAAAAAATTGACACTGTATTTTACCTAGCATATTTTGAAGGTATGACAAATACCTTCAAAATATGAAGTGTAAATCTCACAAGGAAACAAAACAAAATGTAAAGCCTAGATATTTTTATTTTTAAAGACAACTCTCAAATGAAATAAAGTCTTTTAAATTTTGGAAAAAAATTTTTTGAAACATCTAATATATTTTTAAATGATAGTGCAATATACAATATTTGTTATTTAAACACAATGTTAAAAGTAGATTATTGTTAGTATTTGTAATAGTCAAAACAATTCCTTTTTGAAAGAAAGAGGAAATCTTTTTTTCCACATTGGTCAATTAACGAAATCTATATTTAACTGAATAATATAATTAATTCATCTTTGAAAAGCTATCTAAGTGTTGTACTTGCCCAAATATTTTCCATGTAAAACATTTATCTAGTTAAAAATATTTTAAATATATTTCAGACAATGAAAGATTATGTGACGCTAGTTCAACACAAATTGTATTACCAAGTAATTAAAATACTTTTGTATAAATTCTGTATTACTGAATCATATTTCTCACATGACTTCATTTAAATCTTCCATTAGTTTAGAACTATTGAATTAATACCTGCCAAATCATTTAGATACAGTTAAAAGTGAGTTGCAAGTTAAATTGTTGAACAATAAGTGTATGTAGATAAGGGTTTGATAATAAAATAATTCCATTGTCAAATAATTTTAAGATCACTGCATAATAAATATTTCTCTCCACGTTTCATAATCCATTTTATAATTTATAATACTTCAGCAAATCTGCAATAAAAACTATTTTTATTTTAACTTAGTTTTTCTCAAATCCATTTGACCCCAGAAATATTTTTAATGGAATATTAATGAATCACTATGGTTAATTAATCACTATAGTGACTCAACAAAAGCTTAATTTACTGAACAAATCATTACATTGAATTTCAGTTAAAGCTAAATTAGATAGAATCAATTACCTACCATACGATATTTCCTGACTCAATTCCAAGACTGTAAAATAAGGTGGTGGTTGTTGTTGTGTGCCGTCGAGTCGGCCCCCGACTCATAGCGACCCCTCCGTGGGTTTCCTAGGCAGTATCACTGCGGAAGTAGATTGCCCCATCTTCCTTCCGAGGAGTGGCTGGCGGGTTTGAACCGCCAGCCTTCTGGTTAGCAGTAAGTGCCTGAGCCACTATGCTACCAGAGCTCCTGTAAAATAAGGTAGAAAAATAAAATATTGCGGGAGAAAACTTCTATAGTGTTTTTTACACTGATAGTGAATGAACTGAAAAATCATTAACCAATAATTGACTTAGAAACAGTACAAATTTAAGGTATGATCAATCATCTAGTTTTGTACAAAATGTGTGATTCTAGGATTATAAAAGGAGCTCTGGTAGCATAGTGCCTAAGGCACTTGACTGCTAACCAGAAGGCTGGCGGTTCAAACCCACCAGCCACTCCTCAGAAGAAAGGTTGGGCAATCTACCTCTGTAGTGATAACTGCCTCAGCAACCCAAGGAGGGGTCGCTATGAGTCGGGTCCAACTCGACGGCACATAACAACAACAACAACAGGATTATAAAAGCCAAAGACTATCAGTATTTTAGATAAAATTATTGCCATTGAGATGATCATATCCCATCAGATAACCTAACGAATGAAATGAGTCAAATATTTTGTTGTAAGGCCATGGGAAAACTTATACTTGTCATAAACTATCTCCATTTTCAGTGGTTCCACACACAAGTGTTGAGGTAAATTTGAACCTAGGTGGTACAACAGTTAAGTGTTTAGCTACTAACCAAAAGGCCAGAGGTTCAAACCCACCATTAGTTCTGTGGGACAAAAGACCTGGCAATCTACCCCAGTAAAGATTACAGCCTAGGAAACCCCATGGGGTTGTTCTACTCTGTCATATAAGGTGGCTATGAATAAGAGTGGATCTGATGACACATAATGACAACAACAACACACTATTTTGTTTAAAGATTTTCTAGGATTTCTCAGGCAGCATCCATATAGGCCTGGACTCATTGTCAATAAATTCCAGGAGCTAGGAAGCTTAGTAAAACATCCACAAAACTGTAACTGACTTATCAATTGATTTGATTAGTCACATACGGACATTCTGCTTTTGGATGATATGTAAAGTCTATTCCACTTCTGTAGGAATAATGGCCAACAGTAATTCCTATTTTTATAAATATATATATATTCATTTATACAAATTTTCCTTCACATTTGGATGTCATTTTCATGAGTTTAGTTCTTATTTACATTTGACATATTAAGAAATATATTTTTAAGTTTGTAAAATTAAATTAGTGCGTGTCAAAATATTTCAAGTTCTGATCGAAAATTTCTGATAAGCAATTAATAGACACAGACTACTATATCATTTAATATTAAAAGACTAGTAGATCATTTAATATTTGTTTTGTGAATGAGCAACAGTTTGTTGCACTAAAATTCTGAGATGTTTGTTATCATCTCAGAATTGCAATTAATTATGACATCTCAAGGTATCTATATTTACCAGCAATATATTGTGTCCTTGAAAACTGGAATCCTTATGAGTATTTTTTTTTAGCTTTTGTATTACTTTTTTCAGATATTTCAAAATTTGTTAGAAATCATTTTAATAATTATTATTGTTGTGTGTCATCAAGTTAATTCCAACTCATAGTAATCCCGTAGGACAAAGTAGAACTGTGCTGTAGAGTTTCACGAGGTACAATCTTTATGGAAGCAGGTCTTTTCTAACTCAGAGCTGCTGGTGGATTCAAATCATTGACCTTTCAGTTAGCAGTGCTTAACCACTGTGCTGCTAGGGCTCCTTATTTTAATAATTAAAAAATCAGAATGAAACTCATTGTCACAGAGTTGATTTTCACTTACAGAAACCTTATAAGATAGAGCAGAACTGCCTTATAAGTTTTCCAGGGTTGTAAGCTTTATGGAAGCTGACTGCTACATTTTTATCTATGAAAGTTGTTGGTATATTCAAACAGCTGAACTTTCAGTTGGTAGCTGAGCTCTTTAACCATTGCATCACCAGGAATCCTTATTTTAATAATTATTGGGTGAAAATTCAGGTTAACTGTTATATATTCTAGATGATGTCTTTATTACGTGTCAGCATGAAACCACCATTAAGATTTTTGTCTTCATGTGTAACCTTGAGGGAGTTACTTAGTCTTCCTAATTTCATTTTCTCCTTGAAGGCCTTTATTGCAACAGAACCTGGGATGGATGGCTGTGCTGGAATGATGTTGCTGCTGGAACGGAATCAATGCAGCACTGTCCTGATTACTTTCAGGACTTTGATCCTTCAGGTGAAAGCAAAAATTTGCATACAAAACTCAGTGACATCTATTTAATAAACCCCAATTTAATTAAGTTATTGTTTCCCTTTTTCCTTTTTAATTTTAAAATAAAGAAAAAGTTACAAAGATTTGTGACCCAGATGGAAACTGGTTTAGACACCCAGCAAGCAACAGAACTTGGACAGATTACACCCAGTGTAATCTTAACACTCATGAGAAAGTGAAGGTATGTAATAATTGTGGATGGAAAATTTTGTTTTTATCAATTTAAAAGTTATTTATGCAATATAGTATTGGAAAAAATTTAGCCAGTGTTCCATTCCATTGTAAATACTTTCCACAGTATAATTTGAGAATGACAATTAAAAAAAAAAAACAAAAAAAACATGTTGGAAGCATTATTATTGAGTCTGTCATTACATGGAGGAAGCTAGTCTGTTAAGTAATAGTGTATTTACAAGTCAATGTTTCAGTATTGGGGTATCAAATTTTATAAAGAGAATAAACTCTGAAAGTATAAGAAAAGAAAAAGCAACTTTTATTTTTGAGTTGAATTTCTAGAATTATCTTCAGGGAGTTTTCCTCAAGTACACAAGATTAACCAAAATGGATTTAAATAATATTATCTGTTTATGACGAAAAGACCAAGATGGATATCAGATGAGACTCTGAAACCTGTTCTTGAATGGGCAGTAGCTAAAGCAAATGGAAGAAATGACAAGATAAAAGAGGTGAACAGATTTCAAAAAGTAGCTCAAGAAGACAAAGTAAATTATTAGAATGAAATGTGCAAAGACCTGGACTTCGAAAATCAAAAGAGAAGAAGACACTCAGCATTTCTCAAGCTGAAACAAATGAAGAAAAATTGAAGCCTTGAGTTTCAATGTTGAAAGATTCTAGGCAAAATAGAACTGACTTAAAGAGATCCATATTTGTACCCATGCCAAAGAATAAGAAATGATCCCACAGAATGTGGAAATTATCAAACAATATCATTAATATCGGGAGCTCTGGTAGCATAGTGCCTAAGGCACTTGACTGCTAACCAGAAGGCTGGCGGTTCAAACCCACCAGCCACTCCTCGGAAGGAAGGTTGGGCAATCCTACTTCCGTAGTGATACTGCCTCAGAAACCCAAGGAGGGGTCGCTATGAGTCGGGGCCGACTCGACGGCCAATAACAACAACAACAACATCATTAATATCACATGCAAGTAAAATCTTGCTGAAGATAATTAAAAAAATGTTTGCAGCAGTAGATTGAAAGAGAACTTCCAGAAGTGCAAGCTGGATTCAGATGAGGATGTAGAACAAGAGATACTGATGTCAGATGGATCTTGGCTGAGAGCAAAGAATACCAGAAGGATGTTTACTTGTGTTTTATTGACCATGCAAAAGCATTTGATTGTGTGGATCATAAAAAGTTATGAGTAACATTGAGAAGAATGGGAATTCCAAAACACTTCATTGTACTCATGAGGAACCTGTACATAGACCAGGAAGCTGTTGTTCAAACAGAACAAGGGGATATTGCATGGTTTAAAATCCAGACAGAAGTGAGTCAGGGTTGTATCTTTTCACCATACTTATTCAGTCTACATTCTGAATAAATAATCCAAAAAGTTGGTCTATCTGAAGAGGATGGCATTAGGTTTGGAGGAAGACTCATGAACAACCTGTGATATGCAAATGACACAACTTTGCTTGCTGAAAGTGAAGATGACTTGAAGCACTTACTGATGAAGATTAAAGACTATAGTCTTCAGTATGGCTTACATCTCACCATAAAGAAAATGAAAAGCTCCACAACTGGACCAATAAGCAGCATCACAATAAATGGGGAAAAGCTTGAACTTGTCAAAGATTTCATATTACTTGGGTCCACAATCAATGCCAATGGAAGCAGCAGTCAAGAAATCAGATGTTTTTTTTGCACTGAGCAAATCTGCTGCAAAAGACCTCTTTAAAGTGTTAAAGAACAAAGTTGTCACTTTGAAGACTAAGATGTGCTTAACCCAAGCCGTGGTATTTTCAGTCATTTCATATGCATGTGAAAACTGGACAGTGAATAAAGAAGCGTTGATACTTTCAATTTGTGGTGTTGGAGAATACTGAAAATACCATGGACTGCCAGAAGACCTAACAAATCTGTCCTGGAATTTGGAAGAAGTGCAACCAGAATACTCCTTGGAAGTGAGAATGGACAGACTTCGTCACCTACTTTGGTCGTGTTGTCAGAAGGGACCATTCCCTGGAGAAAGATATCATACTTGGTAAACTGGAGGGTCAGCAAAAAAGGGGATGGCCCTCAACAAGATGGATTGACACAGTTACTACAATGATGGGCTCAAGTATAGCTCAGTGAAATGATTATTTGATGCATTTAATACATGACTCCTAGTTCCATAAATAGAAAAGGGCATAGAATTTTATAAAGTTTGAGGAACTACATGGTAAGTTTCCACAGATAAGTTTCCATAGATAAGAACTACATTGTAAGTTTCCATAGATAGTCTTTATTCCTGATGTATTCCAGTACTTATTGGTTTGTAAGACAGTCATTGCAAGGTTATTATCATTTACCATGTTTTTAAAAATTTATTATATTTATTTGAATTTTAGCTTCTATACAAATAGGATTATAGGTACTTACAGTATTGAAATGAGCTTTAATTTTTATTCTTACAAATTTTATTTGTATAAATTATAGACTGCAATGAATTTGTTTTACCTGACAATAATTGGACATGGATTATCTATTGCATCACTACTTATCTCACTTGGCATATTCTTTTACTTCAAGTAAGTATGTATTTAAAATATTTTTAAATTTTACAAATGGTCTTTGTAAGATGTCATGAGCATGTTTATATCATGTGCTACTAAAATATATAAAATATAGATGATTTAAAATACTTAAAATGAACTGAAGGTTTAAACTAAATGAAACTTTTCTTGGCTTTGTAAACATGTGGAGAGGAGGTTGATGAAATAGTTAAGTCTAATATTATAAGATTAGTAGACAAATAAGAATGAAGTCATGTAATAAAGGGACCAATACCAATATTTAAACTTCTATGTCTTTGCCTTGGAAACCATCAACTATTATGCTGTTGTTAATTCCCGTTGATTCTATTCTGACTCATGATGACTCCATGTGTTCAGAGTAGACCTGTTCCATAGAGTTTCCAAAGCTGTGACCTCTAGGAGCAGATCAGCAGGCCTGTCTTCAGAGGTGCTTCTTGGTGCGTTCCATCACCAACCTTTCAACTATCTATTTGTGCTACTCAGGGTCTCCCTCAAGTAGTATGTTGTTGCTGTTAGATGTCAAGTTGATTTCTGACTCATACTGACCCCATGTAACAGAGTAGAACTGCCCCATAGCATTGTCTAAGCTGTAATCTTTATGGGAGCAGATAATCAGGTCTTTCTCCCATAGAAGAGCTCGGTAGGTTCAAATTGCCACCTATTTAGTAATTAGCCAACCACTTAACTGTTGCACCACCAGGGATCCTTCTGTCAACTATAATAAGCTTTCTCAGTTAAAATGTCAACTTCTTGGTCAATTTTACTAATAGTTGTTCATGGCAATTATAGGAACCAGAATTTCATAAGAAAATTCAAAATTCAAAATACATTATAGAAAATATAGCTTGAAATAATCTGGTAGGGTTTCTTTCCAGTTTTGGGAGTCATTATTGATAAGGTTAAATTATACTTTCTAATTTTACTTGAAATATACTGCTCTTTTTTTTTCTTTCCCATTTGGAAGCCAGCTCCAATTTCTTCATTTAACCAATCAACAAGTGATTTTTAAATTTACAGCAAAGTCAGTTTCAAAGTATGTATTATGTTATCTACTGCCTTAACATGATTTTCAAAATTTTAATCACTACCATTAGTTATGGAATGCAATGTGCTTATAGTACATAGTTATATTTTATTACATCATCACCACCATCATTATCACCATCATCATCACCATCAGCATCAATATCATCATTGTCATCATCGTTATAGTCATTGATCACCCTGGAATATGAGCAGCTGCAGAACCATGTGTACGAGTAGCATATCAGAGTTATCCAAATCCAGAAATTATCAGACAGTTGGACATTAGGCACATATTTATCTGGAGCACTAGTTTATAGCTCAGAGTCCATAAAAGGCATAAAAATATTGCAATTAATTTTCTTCAAAATCTATGAATTACTGAAGGACTCGTATTTTTAGTTAATGGAAATTACACATTAATACACACACACAGATTAATTTAAATGCAACTAATATTAGCTTTGATTTTTCTTTATGATAAAGACAATTATGACAAAGGAGAAAGTAGTTCAGCTGCTACCTTACAGGTATAAAGTACAAATCATGAGAGTCATTTGAACACTGTTTTACCAAATCTCCTGAGGAAAAAAATCCAAGTTTTAAATATTTTTATCCTCAGGGAAAAAAATAAAATTACAATATTTTACTTAAAAAACAAAAAGCTATAATTGTGATAAATGCTAAGCCTATACATGGTCATGGTCACACTCCCCCCTGGCTAGATATATCTGATCACAGCCTGTTCACCCATTTATCCAGCTGTAAATCAATGCTTGCCATCACTGACAACACAGTACTGTACATTCAAAAGTGTTCATTGCTGTTGCCTATATCTCTTGTGTACCTCTCTATGTCTTGCTCTTCCTCAGTACTACTGTGCTGATCACTCACATTTGGTACATTACCCTTCCCTTCACCCCAATCAATACCTGTTTCTACCTATCTAGCCAAGTACCCTCTCCTTCCCTCCCATCCCTGATAACCAACAAAGAAATCTTCCTTCCATATATAAACCTTTCCTTGACATTTTACAATAGTGAACTAATACAATATTTGTCCTTCTGTAGTTGACTTATTTCACTCAGCATAATATCCTCCAAGTTTATCCATGTTATGCAGTGTTTTGCAGATTCTACGTTATCCTTTGGTGTTGCATAGTATTCCACTGTGTCTATGTACCATAGTTTGGTTATCCATTCTTCTGTGAATAGCAACTTAGATCGTTTTTATCTCTTTGCTATTGTGAATAGTGTTGTGATAAACATATATTTGTTCTTGTCCTGGCTCACTTCTTTAGGATATATACCTAGTAATGGGATTGCTGGATCAAATGGTATTTCAAATTCCTACTTTTTAAGAAATTTCCATACTGCTTTTCAGAGTGGTTGTATCATTTTACAGTCCCACCAGCAGGGTATGACAGTCACAATCCCTCCCCATGTTTTTTCACTGTTGGTTTAGTCTTTCCCAGAGTTTGGGTATAACTTGGTTAAAGGCTTTAGATCTCTGTATGGCTTTTTAAATTCATCATCTTGAAAGTATGTCAAAATCAACGTGCTCAATAGAAAATTCATATCTATCCTTTCCTAACCAAAACTGAGTTTCTTTAAGAGAGACCCATCCTAGTGAATAACCCACAGCAATCCAGTTGTATTAGCCAGAAGTTAGGAGTAATCTGTGGCACCTTTCTCTCCTTTTCCTCCATAACACCCTGACCACATACCTTATGGATTTTATCTCCTGTAATCCCTCCAATCTTTCTACTTCTCTTCATCTCTGCTTAAATACCACCACCAGCCTTGTTCTATCTCGATTTCTATTTCAGTAAATCCACCTTCACTTCTCTTCATTCAATTGTCCACAATGCAGGCAAAATAATATTTTCAAAGATAGATAAAATATAGATCTTATTTTGCCATCCTTTACTTTACAAGTTGTTCTGGTAGTGTAGTGGTTAAGGCATTTGACTGCTAACCAAAGGTCAGTGGCCAGCTGCTCTGGAGAAGAAAGATGACGTAGTTTTTTTTTTTTTTTTTTTCTGTAAAGATTTATAGCTTTGGAAATATAATGGGAGTTGCTATGAGTCAAAATCAACTTATCGGCAGTGAGTTTTTGCTTTATTGTAACTCATCTGTTCAAATGGTTAACATAGCTGCTAATTGATAGGTTGCAGGTTTAAACCCACCCAATGAACCTGAGAAGAATGGCTTGGCAAGATACTTGGAAAAAATTAGCCAGTGAGAACCTTAAAGAGTGCTTTTCCATTCTGACACACATGGGGTCACCATGAGTACTGGTAAACTGGCTTATTATAATTCATTTAGTATGAAAATCATTTACATACACTAAAATTGAATATTGTTTCCTCTGCCTGTTGTCTTTACCCGCCCCCCTTAGTCTAGTGAAATAACTCATCTCTAAGATATAATCTTTAGCATCATTTCCTCAGTTAAATCTGAATTCCTAATTACAGTACCTCTGAAACTCAACAAATTGCATTGTACATATGGTAAATTTTTAATTACCATTTGGAGGACTGGCATCTCTGCAGATTTAAGACTAACACAGCCAAGACACTGCCCTTTAAAAAAGAAGAAGAACCTCTTTATTTTACATGCAATAAGACAAAATGTCCTAGCTCATTAAATTTCTGAAAGGCATGATGGCAAAATGTATATTATGTATTATGTAATTGTGTTATGCCAAAACCAATAGTCAGAAAGGGAATAACAGTCTTCTAGAATTCCAAGCTCTCTGCCCCCAAACTAGCTTGAATTTAGCCAATATATAAATAAAGTCCTGTACCAATTCACAAAATAAAATGCAAAATTAGCAAAGCTTTGTGTGGAAGAGCCTAAGATTCAATGGAACAAAAGCTCACTGTAAACTAATGAGGCAAACATATGGCTGCAGATGAAAAGAATGCTGCAAACCAAACTATACCAATACATTTATAGTGTCCAGGTCCAGATCACTAAGCAGACTGCTCATTCACTCTGTCCATACAGGGTGACTCTGTAAGAGGAAAACGGGTGTCATAAGAATTAGCATTTCAAGATAGATATAGCAAAGAAACTAAAAACAGTACTGTAAAATGGTTAGTGAATAAAGGTACCTATAATGTTAGGCCAAAAAGAAAACTCTGAGGCACTCTAGATGACTTAAAATCCAGATTACTGTTATTGGAGAAAAGACTAAGTGTAAATAACATAAAACCAAAAAAAAACGTCACTGCCTTTGAGTTGGATCCAACTCATAGTGACCCCTCCTTGGGTTTCTGAGGCAGTATCACTACAGAAGTAGATTGCCCAACCATCCTTCCAAGGATGAACTAACAGCCTTCTGGTTAGCAGTCAAATGCCTTAGGACTACACTTCCAGAGCTCCTGTAAATAACATAGAGATAAAAAATATTTGGAGTAATTAAAAAAAAAAAAAACAACTTTAATGATGCAACAAAAATGGCATGAATCACCAATTGACCAGTGCATTTCCTGTTACTGAAGGCTTTCAGACAGAGATCAGACATTAAACTGTTAGTTTAGGAATGTTGAAGAGGAGGCTTCCTGTACTGAGTTAATAATTGGACCTGATGATCTCTAATGATCCCTCTAAGCCTAATAGTCTACAACTGAAGCAATAATTTAGTAAAGAAGATAAGACTGAGCAAGCTATTTTTTAAAATATATATACATAATTTCAACATCAGTGATGTTAGGACTTGTGAAAGTTTTATGTAAGCTGAAAACAATCTTAAAAAACTATACTTATTGCCAACTATGAAGTGAAATAAAATTTGATTCAATAATCTTAGATCTGTATTTATATATGTTTTAATTAAAAAAATGACTATTCAATATTGTATGATCCTAACTTTAAAGAAAGAAAAGTATAGATATATATATGGAGAGAGACCAGGGGTCATTGGTGGTTACCAAGGATACACAGAAGGGAGAGGGAGATTCACTC